AAATATAAATGGTTTACTGTAATTGATTTAAAATATGCCTTTTTCTGCATACCCCTTTAATGGAAAACCACTGAGACTATTCACTGAGTGCTCATAGAGGTATAGCAAACGTCGTTTATCTTAAGCACACTTTTATAGGGTCTGACAGGGTTTACGGGGCTTAACAAGCTACTATTGGTTAATACATGTTGTTTTACATTCTTTTCCAAGTACACAATGCCATTGTATTTCCTTATTCTCACTGTTCCAGGAGAGTTTCAAGAACACTGCCTTTACTATTGTCGCCTTCAATAGCTGGGTTGTGCAGGCAGGCTTTGACTAAAATGCTTTCACTCTGTTAGAAGGTCATCGACTTCTTTCAGGGCGTTTAACCTGTTTGCAGCTGTTTTAGTTGTTCATGGATAGAGACTGAGTGGTTAGAAAGATTCATACAACACATTCTTTCAAATCTTAAAACAGAGAATAACTGAAGAAAATTGGTAGAGACACAACATCATGATGATAACATTAAATTTCTGTTGGCAAACTGTGTAGTTTTGAGACACAACTGTGTCCTGGCAGCTCCACTTCTGATCTTGTCTGGAGTACCAAGATAGTGTGGTGACTTCTCTGTTTACTGTGTCTCATGTTTTCAGAAGCAGACAGCCTGGTCAGATGAACAGGTGATGTTCTTGAACCTGTCAACAAAACATAGGCACTTCTCCCCTTAAAGTTAATGAATCATTTTGGCTTAGCTGTGGTACACTTAATTGTAAATTCAGATTATATGATCTTTCTAAATTTTTGATGTAAATATTTCATTATTCAAAATGAATTGTGGTCTAAATTTCTACATACATACTACATTAATCAAATACTTTTAGGGTATCAATTCCTTTTGTTTTTGAAAGTGAGATGTACTTTTATCATGCATATTAATCATTAATCAACACAAAACTATACACATAATGCATGAAAAACCTACAGCAGTCAGAAATCAGTCAGATAATAAACATTATCAATAACATATGTGATATGGAATTACTATTAACTACTAAAACACTGTGCCAGCATTTTACAGTCTGCAAACAGACAACAAAATCAGTGAAGGATTGGATAACCACCTCCGGAAATGATTCTCCAGGCCCACTTCAAAATTTATCCAGCTGTCATATTAATAGGGTCAAATTGCTGAGTCAAAAAGTGACTCAAATACTGATTTGGTGCAAAAAACATCTGGATCTGCTGGCAAACATTCTGTCCAGGTAAAGTCAAGGCTTGGCCAGGGCCTGGAAAGATGTCTCTTAAGTCATTTTCAAAACAAGGTTCTTAATAATAGCAGCTACAAGATGGTTAAAGCTCAGCAAACTGTTGAAGTGCATTTGTAGAAAGCAAATGATCAGAAGTCTTAGGCAACAGACTAATCAAACCATTTAGCAGTTGGTTTAATCTGAAATTTCTCTCATGGTAGCTGTCTTTCAGTAATGATACATTTTCTTGGAATTCTGGAAGCACTGAAAAATAATAAAGCTGCACTGGATTAGGCAAAAGCAAGTCTTCTTAAACAAGGAAAGGAGTAAAAAACAAGAAAAAACCTTATATAGGAACAGTTGTATAGCTCGTTTACCAAGATGCATCTGTAGTTAGAAAACAAAAAGATCTCAAATGACATGTGTCTAAAAGATATGTTAAAATATAGAAGAAGCTGGCTATAAATACAACAGTGACACTCTATAGAGTGTTCATCATAAAAATCCATAAATTCACATTATACAATGAATATGTCAGCAGTATCTAAAGAAATTAAGATAATATTTTTAGAATATTCATGTCTTAATGACCAAATCTGAAATAAGGTTAAAAACTTCTAAATTTCCTAGTAAACAACAGTCACTATTCTTTTGTGTTACTTATAGGAAACAAAACCAGTAGAGATTATAAGAAATAAATTTAACTTTTTGTTGGGGTCAGAGATGCAAGATATATACCTTTACCTGCGGCAAACAAGTGTTGGGTCATTGGGTCGCTAAGAAAAATAATTCAGTTGGCATCTGTTAATTGGGGAAATGGACATATAAAAGACCTTGAGGAAGATCTTTGTTAGCCATTTTACCCCTTTTCTATCATAGTGCACATAGCTCCTTGTACCTTGTAATGCTGATAAGAAAAAAATAAACAACTGAGACCAAACAAGAGAAAACTGCCTCCCTCTCATCAATCTTCAGTTCAAAGGGAAAAAGAACCTAATCCAAGGTCCATAACAAGACAAATGGCACCCAATGTGGGGCTTGAACCCACTACCCTGGGATCAAGGGTCCCATGCTCTACCAACTGAGCTAGCTGGGCTGACCACAGACTTGTCTAAGAAGCCATGTTTTAAATGTGGAAAACATGGGCACATCAGAAAAATTTCTCCAGAGACTTCAGAAAACATGAAAACACCAGGTCTCTGCCCAAGATGCAGAAGAGGAAAGCATTATGCAAGTCAATGTTATTCCAAGACAACTGTGGATAGAAAACCTCTGCCCATTCTGGGAAACGGGCAGAAGAGCGCGGAACACCAGCGCGCTATGACACAAGTGACGGTGACAACTCAGCACCCCCAGATCCCTCAAGGAACACATTGTGCAGGGAATCTCAATCAGATTCCATCTGCAGGACCATCTGCAACTTCCCAAGTGATCCAGAGCTGCTGCCACCAGGGGCACAGTGCGAATTGGCAGCTTCCAAGTTAATCTACTTTATGAATGAAAGTCATGCAGTGATTCCCACGGGAGTCACTGGAATGTCATGGAAGCAGCAAGAGTTTTTAATTATAGGCACGGACAGAAGCAGTACTTTAGGACTCATTGTTTATCCATCAGTCATTTCAGCAAATCATAATGGAGAGCTGACAGTTTTAGCTCAACCCTTGCACCATCCGTTGATCGTTCCAGAGAATACTCCCATAGCTAAAGCCATTGCTTTGCCATCGTATGCAATATGACAAATTACCCCAGTAGCTAATGTACAAACTCTATCTAGCAAGGAAGACGCGGATGTCCATGTTTTTTGGATAAAGCAAATAGGTCATGATCGACCTCAACTCACCTGTGATTTAACACGTGGTGACATGACAATTGCAATTACAGGCATGCTAGACACAGGTGCGGATGTCACAGTGATCTCTCATGTCCTGTGGCCCAAAGAATGGAGCATAGTAGTACCCTTGAACTCTCTTTCAGGAATTGGAGGAAGTACATTATACATAATTGCAAAGTTGTCATGGAGTTACTTTACCTTTAAGGGAGTTGGAGTTGCTGGGAAGTGCTTGGAGTCTTTTCTCTTGACCAATTATCGGTCATTGCTGGGAATTGACAGCAGTTTAGGCCATTGAAAAGTGGGATCAACTTGTGAACCCTACCTTAAAGTGTAAAAGCAGAGCTCTCTGGGTTCTCTTTGTTTCCTGGCTGTGGAAGGTGGCGGAGCTCCAGGCCTCCAGTCCCTGCCCAGGCCATGCGGCCGGGCGGGGATGGAGTTGGGCCTGCCCCGTCTCCCGGCCGGGAGATGGGGGGGGCCTGGGGAAGGTTTTCCCTGGGCCGGGCCGAGCCGATCTCTGGCTCGGCTGCAGGTTTTGCTGTAACTACATTCACTAGAAACTGCCAAGTGAAGAAAGAGAGAAGCCCTGGACTTGCAGCGGGTTAGAGCAGCGACCACACTCTCCAGAACAGCCATGAGGAACCTTCCATCGCAGACGGCTCCAGCTCCTGTTCAGCAGAGATCCTCGAACCATCTACAAAAGCCTGGGCAAGATTTTAACACTTTCATTACCCAGATGAGACTTGCGGATTAATCTTTTTATCCAGAGAGAGAGAGAAAGAAAGATCAACATGAAAAGAGACTTTATAAACTACCAGTGACAAGAAAGAAAAGAAGCTTCAGGAAAGGTAGAGAATTAAGAAGATGCTTTAATTAAGCTGAAATATCTCCCTGTTAAAACTATGGAGATGGACAATGAAGTCCTGAAAAGAACTCCTTTAATTCATGATATAAGATCTAGAGAGGAATAGTGTTCAAAGTGTAAATTTGAGTAAAGAGTAATTATAGTATAGTGAAGTACTGGGAGATTAAAAGCCTTGAGAGGCCATGAGAAAACTGTTGAGAGATTTGAAGCCCTGAGAGGCCATGAGAAAACTG